AGATAGCACATATGATCAGAAAAGCCCACCACAATCTATGTTTTTTTGTTGGCCCTACTTATGAGAAGCTCACCTTCTTAGATGCAGCTTCAGAACCTGAAAATAATCCCTAAAGGCAAATTGAATCAAATTTTATTAAAACGTCAGGATTAAAAAGAGATGATTCTAAAAGTGAATAGATCAAATCTCAGTGCTATGCTAAAAAAAAGAAAAAAAAATAAAAGTGAATAGAGATTATCAATAAATTCTATAGATTAAAAAAGATTCAAGCCTTTACTATTGACACTTTTGTATTCTAGTCACCATTTCTCGTTGTCTTCTCTGTCCTCCTCTTCTTTATGATTTCCTCTTCCTACCTTTCTACAGTAAAGGTAGGACTCATTCATTGCACAGTGTTGGAAAGGCTCCTAGAGATTGTAGAGCCTAATCTCCATTGTGCACCAAGGGAAAACTGAGGCCCAGCAAAGAGAAGAGTCTTGTTTAAGCTAGGGAATGGTAGAGGTGAAAGAACTCAGGTCTCCAACATGCTCCTTCTCTTTTTAAAATTCATTTTAATAGATTTAGGGGCACAAATGGGTTTTGTTACATGGATGAATTTTATAGTGGTGAAGTGTGGGCTTGTAGTGTACCTCTTACTCAAATAATATACATTGTACCCAATAATTTTTTACCCCTCACCTCCCCCAACCTCCCCTTTTCTGAGTTTCAAATGTACATTATACTATTCTGTATGACCATGCATACCCATGGGTTAGGTCCCACTTATAAGTAAGAACACTTATATGCTCGTTCAATCATATCATTGAGGCCAAGGAGACAGCCTAATCAATATGGTCACTAATACCATGTGAGAATTAGTATATTATGAGCTGAGGATATTTTTAAACTAGTATGTGATTCCTGGAAACTACTACAGAGACTCTCTGATGTAGCCTTCCAAGCTGGACACTATGAAGCACTCAATAGGGTAAACATTACCTTTTTTGAGGCTTATCTTAGAGAGGCAGCTGTGGCACAGTAGAAAGTGCTTGGGCCTCAGAGTCAGACAGAATTGGGCTGAAATTTCAGCACATCCTTTACTGCTGTTATAACTATAAGAAAATCACTAAACCTGTGTGACCCTCAGTTTCTTCTGTAAAATGAAGATTATAAAGAGCACCTATGACCTAGGAACAGCATGAGGACTGAATAAGACAAAATATGGAAGTGGGAAAGCATATGAGAGATGATCACTAAATATTAATTTTTATTCCCCTTCTCTTTAACTACACTATTCCTTGAAAAAAAGCTGTTAAGGAAAATAATTTGCTGTCAGTAGAAACCACAAGGAAAAAAAGGCTTTGTGGATGATAGCTATGTGACTGGGAAGCTGCCCTCAGTGGGGATCCATTTTGTTCAGGCATGCAGCATCTGAACTCCTGGCATGTATGTGCAGTTTCTGATGCTTTAAAAGGCTAACTGCTGGGTACACAAAAACTTGCCAATTACACTGGGAACATAAAGTAGTGTCATACCAGCCCAGAAATATGTAAATATTCCTAGTCCCTAAGAAAAAGGTTTATTAATAATCACTTAAGAATCCCTATTTCACAGCTTGATGATTTGTTGGTTGCTTTGACCCACTGTTCACATAGATCTGGTTTCCTTGTGTCCTTCTGGGTACAGAGTGGGAGTTTACTGCACTGTGACTGACACAGGTACATACTGATGTCAACTCCAAAACACACAAGGGTGGCCCATGTGCTTACCTTTCCTGTCTTCATTATTATCAATAAATTAGAGGATTCAAATAATCTCCTCCACTGTACCAGCATTCATAATTTTATCAGGTGAAAATGTAAGGCTCAGTAGGGCTTAAAAGAAGGCCTTTTCTGAAACAGAGGCAGGACAGATACACCACAAGCCCTGGCCTCTTACCTACTGGTAAGATTACTAGTCATTCCTCCTCAATTCTGTGGTGGCTCCCTCAGTAAGCCAGTTTGTAGCTTGTGATAATAATTTCCAATATCTCTTTTCCTATTCCTTCCCCTAAGGCTATCGTGGTTTCCTCTGTCCTTTTTCCTTTTGTCTGAGTAATACCTCCTAAGTCTTGCCCCTCTAAGTTCCTCCTACATGCTTTTTCTCCCTCTTCCCTCTAGGCTATGTAGAGTGTACAGAGCTCAAAAAGAAGAGAATTGAATGGGACTCTGGATCTGTTTCTTTCTTTTTCCCTGAATTGGGTAACTGAGAGCTGTGTGTGTGTGTGTGTGTGTGTGTGTGTGTGTGTGTGTGAGAGAGAGAGAGAGAGAGAGAGAGAGAGAGAGAGAGAGAGAGAAAGAGAGAAACTGAAATAGAGAGAGAGATCATTTATGGAATCATCCTTGGTAACACAGGTGTTTAGAAAGTAATTAAATTGGAAGGCCAGAGACAGTCTACTCAGAGATCAGTGATAAATATTTTCAAAAACAGCTTTACTGAAGTATATTTCACATATTACAAAATTCATTCATTTCAAGTATGCAAATTAAATTTTATTAACTTTATTGAGTGCTGCGGCTGTCACCATAACTCAATTTTAGGACATTTTAATCCTCTAAATAAGATCCCTCATGCCAATTAATATTTAATCCCTTTTCTCATGCCCAAGCAAACACTAATCTACTTTCTGTCTCTATTAACTTTCTTTTTACAGATATTTTATGTAATTGGAATCAAACAATATGTAGTCTCTTATATATGCCTTTATATTTACCTATGGTGTACCACGTGTCAGAAATTCAATTTTTTTCATTGCTGAATAGTATTCCATTATATTTGTATATGCCACACTTGTTTATCCATTCACTAGCTGATGGACATTTGGGTTGTTTCCACGTTTTGAATATTATAAATAATGTTTATATGAATATTTGTGTACAGGTATTTTATATATATGTATATATACATATGTTTTAAATTATCTTGGGTATATAGCTAGGAGTGGAATTATTGGATCATATGGTAACTTTAGCTTTAACTTTTAGATGAATTGCCAGACTATTTTCAAAAGTAGCTGTACCATGGTACAATCCCACCAGCAATGTATGAGACTTCTCATTTCTTCACATCTTTGCCAATGTGTGGTGTTATCTTTGCGGATGATATCATCTTATATTTAGGAAACCCCAAAGAGTCTGCCATGAGACTACTGGAATTGATAAACAAATTCAGCAAAGTCTCAGATTACAAAAATCAATGTACAGAAATCAGTAGCTTTCCTATATGCCAACAACAGTCAAACTGAGAACTAAACCAAAGACTAAATACCCTTCACAATAACAATAAAGAAAAGAAAATACCTAGGAATACATTTAACTAAGGAGGTGAAAGACTTCTACAGGGAGAGCTACAAAACACTGAGGAAGGAAATAGCAGAGGGCGTAAACAGGTGGAAAACCATACCATGCTCATGAGTCAATAGAATCAACATTGTTAAAATGTCTATACTACTCAAAGTGATCTACAGATTCAATGCAATCCCTATTAAAATACCAACGTTTTTCATAGATATAGAAAAAATCATTCTATACTCCACATGGAACTAGAGAAGACCCTATATAGCAAAAGCTATCTTAAGCAAAAGAACAAATTGGGAGGCATCCATTTACCATACCTCAAGCTATACTACAAGGCTATAGTAACTAAGACAGCATGGTATTGGCACAAGAACAGAGACATAGTCCAATGGAATATAACTGAGAACCCAGATATAAAACCATCCTCATATAGCCATCTAATCTTTGACAAAGCAGACAAAAACATACACTGGGAAAAAGAATCCTTATTCAATAAATGGTGTGGGGGAAACTGGATAGCCACAAGTAGAAGACTGAAATAGGATCCACACCTTTCACCTCTTAAAAAAATCAACTCACAGTGGATAACAGACATAAACTTAAGGCATGAAACTATATCAATTTTAGAAGAAAATGTTGGAAAAACTCTTATAGACATTGGCCTAGGCAAAGAATTTATGAAGAAGACCCCAAAGGCAATCACAGCAACAACAAAAATAAATAAATGGGACTTGATCCAATTAAAAAGCTTCTGCACACCCAAGGAAACTATCATGAGTGTCTGCATGCTACATATCCAATAAAGGACTGATAACTAGAATCTATATAGAACGCAGGAAAATCAGCAAGAAAAAATCAACCCTGTCAAAAAGTGGACAAAGGACATGAACAGAAACTTTTCAAAACAAGATAGACTAACGGTCAACAGACATATGAAAAAATGCTCAACATCTCTAATCATCAGGGAAATGCAAATCAAAACCACAATGAGATATCACTTAACTTCAGTGAGAATGGCTTTTATCCAAAAAGTCCCAAAACCATAAATGCTGGCATGGATGTGGAGAGATAGGAACACTCATACACTGCTGGTGGTACTGCAAACTAGTATAACCTCTGTGGAAAGCAATATGGATATACCTCAGAAAGAGTACAAGTAGTACTCCCATTTGACCCAGAAATCCCACTACTGGGCATCTACCCAAAGGACAAAAAGACATTCTATAAAAATGACATCTGCACTCAAATGTTTATAGCAGCATAATTCACAATTGGAAAGATGTGGAAACAACTGAAGTGCCCGTTAATACATGAGTGGATTAATAAAATGTGGTATATGTGTATCATGGAGTTCTACTCAGCCACAAAAAAACGGTGATCTAGCACCTCTTGTATTATCCTGGATGGAGTTGGAACCCATTCTACTAAGTTAAGTATCACAAGAATGGAAAAACAAGCATCACATGTACTCACCATCAAATTGGTATTAACGGATCAACACTTACGTGCACATATAGTGGTAACATTCATCGGGTGTCGGGCAGGTGGTGGGGGAGGAGGGGATGGGTATATTCACACCTAATTAGTGTGATGCATACCATCTCGGGGATGGACACGCTTGAAGCTCTGTCTTGGGTGAGGCAAGGGGAATATATGCAACCTAAATATTTATACCCCAATAATATGCTGAAATAAAAAAATGAAAATGAAAATGGGAAGAAACTTTATATGCCCAGCTATTAAATAAAATTATAGTAAAGCACAGCATTCACAATGATTTCTCTTTAGGTGGTGCCTTTAATTCAATGAGATTGTAAAACGCAAATATAGACCCTGAATTGGCAAGGCAGTGCTCTTAATGGGTAATCATCCAGATGGTCTAGCTTGAATATGCTTGTATTTTTTTAAAATTATGATCAAAATGAAAGCACTCACACACACACTTATAAACTTCGAGAGATTTTGTAGACCTCAGAGGACGTATGCATAGTCCTCTTGGGGCCATGGGACCCTGTCTAGAAGTGTTAGTTCAGAACACAACAGTTTCTAGTACATCTGCAGCCAGTTGAGAATCTAAATGTATAGCTGGGACTCAAGCATTACAAATGTGATGTATGTAACCTAAAACATTTGTACCCCCTTAATATTTTGAAATAAAGTATACAAAAATAAACAATTTAAAAAATAAAAAGAGAGCTTAGACTACAACCCAGATCTCCTGGGTGTCAAGTCAGTGACTGTGATCACCACTGGTGCTACATCCAATAATCAGAAACACATTTCCTTGCTGTATTCAGTGAGTAAAGATACACCAACCAAATGAGGAACCCTAGTTCTCTGAAAGGAGGGAAATAAACAAGGTATTTGTATGTATTCCTGTTTATTGGCTAATACGAAATGTTTGCAGAGCATCATAAACCAAAATCACAACCCATCTAGTATCCACACATGCATATGGCTCAAGATTTAATAAAATACCTATAAATAACCCATTTATGAGGAAAAATAGATAATTAAAATGTACCTACATTCAATGCAAAACACTAAAGACCTAAGTAGTGAGGCAGAGAGGGAAGCAGAAGGAGGACAGGAGAGATTATCATCTCAGCATGGGAGGGCTATGTGTTGGGGAGGGGGGTATTATAGTTTTGATCCCCTTATCTAGCCTGGATCTGAGAACCCTGGGGAAAGTTGCTCTCCCAGACTCCTCCTGTTAAAATCCAAGTCCAGGTGTATGGAGAGGAAAACAGTGAACCAAAAAACACAACTCATTCCCAGCAAACACTTCCCCTCCCTTATAAATAACTTTGTTTGCCAGTTCAAATATGGACAACTCAAGTATTTTCTAGGCTTAAGAGTATATTGAAAATGTTTCTATCAAGTGTACTTTGTGCTTCCACTGGCCAATATCCTCCAAGTAGAGGCAACACATAAAAGTACAGTGCTCAATCAAAGATGCCCTCACTTTAAAAGCAATGAAATGGAAATCTTTGAAATACTATCCTGGTGCAAACACTTGAATATGACATTTGCCATGGACAAACAGTAATTATAAAAAAGGAAAGCATCCTTCACTTCATCTCTACCCAAAATACTTTAAAAAGCAAAGCAAAACAAAACTTCATTGTCCTCCCATTGCCAACTCCAGTCGTTAAACTTGAGAAAGTTGGAACCAACGTGATTCTGGGTATGGCTTGGGATGGTCATACAATCAATGTTCATGCCATGAGAAGGCACAGTGAAGAGGTGTGACTGTGTCACTTTATCATATTATTGTTATTATTATTGTGTTGCAATCACTATCTTTCCCACAGAGTAGCAGTGTTAGACTTGGGCTTGAACCACTGCCAGGCACATGGTGACCTTTGAATAATTGGGGTCTGTTCAAGCTGAATCACCCTTTGTTTGGGTACTAGTTCATTCCCTACCAGAAGGTGCAGACATAACTAAAAAGGTAAGTGAGATAAGAATAAACTGTCCCAGGGGGCAAAAAAAAAAAAAAAAAAAGAGCAGAGAGCCTGAAGGCTAAAGCCTAAAACCTTGGCTCCCACATATTTGGTAATACCTGTGTGAGGCCAGGCTGCTTGGTTGTCTTGTAATTCAATTGCTTCTCATCTCCAGTCCAGTACAAAGGGACCTTTTGGCTTTTTCCCAGGTGCTTTTAGCACCTTGATCAATGGGTTACCCTAGGGGCCCTTAATCAGTGCTTACGAGGCATTTAATAAAATACTAAAAGCAGAAATCTTGGTGTAGAGAGCACTCCTTTATCAGGCCTAGGACCTGGTGATGAAGTGAATTCTGCCTAATGTACTTAATTAACCACTAAGTACCTGTGGGCCAGGAACTAACTGTACATGCTTCAGAAAGATCCTGAGATAATAAAGAAGAATACAGCCTATAAGGAGCTTGTTTTTCTCTGGCCATGAGATGTATAGGTGTGGGCTAAAGGCAAAAAGACTGTTTACAAAGAATCAAAGAAAAAGGGATGGTGGGAGAGCTGGGATCCAACTGACATGTCAATAGAAAGATGTAGCAAGACCACTTTCCTCTCTACTCTCAGCCACCTCTAAATGGTTTGGGGGATGTCTTTTGGGGGACTGTTGGGAGGTAGTTTGGGAATCCCAGGCCCTGGAAGGAAGATTACTTTGGCTCAGAAATATTCTGTAAGGTTCCAAGAGGGCACACTTTAGTCCTTTTCCTTGTGGGGGTGGAGAGTTATATCACCTCAGATATAGGATAAGGCCTAGGAAATCCCAAGGGAAATTGCTTGCTCTGCCCTATGCTGCAACTTAGAACCATTGCTCTTCAAACATGCACAAGACCCTCCAGCTGATCCAGGGAGTGCAGTGAGCCTAGGAGAACCTGGAAGAAGGCAGAAGAAACCTTATAAGCTGTAGGGGGTGAGAGTTAGAGGGAGAGAAAAGCAAAAAATAAATAAATAAAAATCCCCCCAAACCCTTCATCTTGTCCCAGTTGGACTGAGACTCAGATGAAATCATGTGTTATTTTTTCATGTACAACTACACTGCTGCCTCAGTAGTACTCAATAAACTATGGGGCCAGTTGCTTTTCCTAGTGGTGGGAATGGGCTGTCTTAACCAATCTCTTAATGATGTTCCTTATTGACCTTTTAAAGATCATTTAGGCAGTGTCTAGTGAAAAGAAATAACAGGGCCCTTTGTTACCCCTGCCTTTCTCTCTGCCATAGCTAAGAGTATTTCTGCTCTACCTGTCTTTCCCTGGCTTCTACTCTCAGTCATGGGATCCACAGTTGGGCAGAGTGGTTATGTGGGACAGGCTGTCTTTCTCAAGTATGAACTGCTTTCGGTAAGTCACTACTATATGGGCCTGAGTTTCCTTATTTTTATAATAGGTATAATTTATGAATGAGCCTTTTTAAACTATAAAGCAACAAAGTGTTATTACTGACATTTTCACTCAAATAATTTACAATCTTTTAAAGACAGGAGAATTGTCCCCTCCACATTTAAATAAAGGTAAACCCTCAAGTCTCCCAAACTAAGATCAGAGACTCTTAAATTGCACAAAGGAGAAAGGGAGGTGGGGCAAGTAGGATGGATAGTCCTACTGGCTTCAGCCTTTATCCCCTGTTTCACACCTGAGGAGTGAAAAAAGATGGAGAGGAAGAAAGAGTCCTGTTTGGCCTTGTAACTCTTCTCACTTTCTGACCTCTTGTGAGACAGTGCTGAATGGAAAGTCTCTTAGCTTCTCACTGCGGTAAGACTTGGCATAGAAAGTACCAAACTGGCAGTAGGGAGAGGAAGGAACAGGAGGGAAGAGATCTGTATGGTGGGTAAGGATATTGCCTCATTCACAAGGCCTGTTTTGTCTATATATCTACCCCTTTTCATTCCAAAAAGAGTTGGTTTGTGGAACAGATATGTCAGGAAAACCAAAATACTCCTACCCTAAAACACTGTCTTCCAGAAATGAAGATTTCAAGATAATAAAGAGATCCTGAAGGCATCCTACCTAGCCTTGCTATTCATTCCTGCATCACTGAGTAATTTAAGGCCAATTACTTTCTGTCACTGGGTCTCAGGTTCCTCATCTGCAAACTGGGGATGATAATCTCTGCTTTGCCCACATCAGGGTCTCTGTAAAAATCCAATGAAATGATGCCTGTGAAAGCACATTGCAAAATGTAAAGTACAGCACCCATACACGTAGTGGATTCCAGCATTCTTAACCCAGGTCAATTGTGCCCTGTCTCCAGTCTTGTTTTTTACAAATTAAGTCACACCCGACATTCTGGACTACATAAGCTGCTTTCAAACAAAGGAGCCAGGTGCTCTACTCACCTGAGCAGTTTTCTCTTCCAAACCTGACCTACTATGAGGGAGTGGATATCAGCTCAAGTGGCCCATTATGAACATAAGAGGAGACTTAAAATCAGCTCATGATGCTCACACCTGAGCCCCAAGAGTGTCATTTGCCCTGTTCCACCAGAAAGCCATGGAGAAAGCAGTTCCATTTCATGCTGAGGAGCATGTGAAATTGGCAGTGAGGGCTCGAGAGATTAATTTGTTTCCTCTAAACTAAGAAAGCACCAAATGGTCCCTGAGCTGCCCTAGGGCCAGGCCTCAGTGAGAATTTTATGTCCTCAGTGCCCTTCTGCCTCCCAGACCTCAGGAACTTCACTGTCATCCCAAAGACCAAATATCTGAGCTCTGATTTGGTCCTGGGAATATAGACACTGACTTTTGAGCTTTAGAAGACCAGGAATCAGGAAGGAAAAAAAAAGAGGCAAAAGTACAAGGTAAAGAAAAATGAACGGAACCCTTAGGAAGGACTATTTTAAAGATCAAAAAGACATTAATTTGAATCCCCACAAAAGAAGGGTGGAGACCTATTTGTGGGGATGAAGATCCTAGCAAATTTGCTGGCTCCAGAGCTGTTACAGTCACAGAAACCTAAGACATGAGTTGGGGAATCATAGCACCAGGCTTCCTCCAAAATGTGTGTGTATGTGTGTGTCTGTGTGTGTTGGGAGGGAGGCAGTGTGAAGAAGCTAAAATGGGAGAAGGATTTGATTTTTTTCCTTAAAGTGCTAGTTATATGTATCAATAGAGTTCCTGAGAGGCTCACCTGACCAAAAATGCAGGCAGAAAAACTCTACCCCATTCATTGTCATTTCCTCCCCTATTCTCTATAATCAAGTTTAGCTAGGAACCTGTCTTGTACTCCCATGACAAGGTAATCTGCCTCTCCAAACCAGAATAGGGAAGCGAGATATGCTGCAAGTGAGTCCTGGGAAAATGCTGGCGAATCAATCCTCTGATAGTATGGGATAGAATATACCCCATCTGTAGAATACTGGCTGTTGTGGATACCACATCCCATATTCTTGCTGCTGTTGTGGTGTAGAAACAAGGCAAGAGACTCCAGAGAGAACAACTGGGCAAGGCTGCCAGGAACACAAGAGACCTAAGGAGGGAGCAGAGCAAGTTAGAAACCTGTGGGGAAATCTCACTAGCTCCCACCCATCCCTACACCCCACAATCATGTGTTAGGCCAACAGCTTAGGATGCAATAGCACAAATCCATCACCTAGCTAGGGAGATGACAATTCTACCCTATTCTACATTGGCAAAACCATTCCTTATGAAACTTGGTTGACTTCTAAGCTCCACATATTTTTAAAGGAACCTAAAGTGGTGTTTTTCAGAAGGGATATACTTTCTTTAAACATCTGCAGGGCTATCACAAAGCATAGGAAGCAGATGAGATCTGTCTGGCCCAAGGAACAGAGCCAGGACACCCAGAAAGACAGAAAGTTTTCTCTTTATATTGAGCTCAAATCCACCAGTCATAGTTATAATATATATTCAGCAATAGTGAGCTCTCTGCCACTGCAAGTATGTGAGCAAGGACTATGCAAACACTTGGTGAGGATATTATAAAAGGAACCCAAGCATTGATTGAAGGCCTTGGGTAGGGAATGGACTAGGTAACCTTGAAGGTATCTAGGCACACTGATTTGATACCCGTCTTGGCTTTCTAATGTACATTGTTCCATTTTCCTAGGTAGGATATAGGCAGGGGGAAAGTCATTGGGGAACCCGGAAATGTATTGGCTGAAGAAATATGCAAATGGGCAGTGAAAGGTAGTTGGCTATTTGAAAAATAGGAATATACTCACACTCTTGCCTCATACTGCCTCACACTACTTTGAAAAAATAACATTGACTATGGGATAGTTGCAGAGGTGGAGTTGGATGAACTCTAAAATGGAGCCCCCAAACATGGCTTCTAGCCCAGTTCTGTCACTGATTTGCTTTGTGACTTTGAGCAAATTGCTTTCCATCTCTGCATCTCATTTCCTACCTCTGTAAAATGAGGCTAATACACCCTGATCTGCCAACCAGAAAGGCTGTTATGAAGATCAAATGAATGTAGTGGATGTAGAAGGGATATGTAAATTATGACTGGGACAGGAAAGGGAATGAAAAACTAACATAGTTTAAACATCTCTAAGGCATCAGACACTGTAAAAGGTATTTGTGCATGCATTTTTCATTCAACACTCATAATAACTTATGAGATATATAGTGCTTTCTACTTTTTACAGATGAATGCTTTGAGGCTCAGATAGGTGAAAGGATTTATATAAGCTTTATATAGCTATTAAGGAATGAAAGTCAATTTGAAATATAGGGCTGTCGGATGATCAGGCTTGTATGTTTTTTCTGCTGTGCTACTCTGCTTGTACACATGAAGGAGTTCTGAGAGAGCTTGTAACAGGCCAGAATGTACAGACTAATGTCATGACAACCTAGCCAGTTCCGTGATAATTGCAGGCCCAAGAAGTATGATTTCTGACTGGCTTAAAAGATTAACACCAGCACTGTTATCCCTTCACCCACCAGTATTCTTAGCTTGCTGCTATTCTTTCATCCCTAGCCCTACTGAGCAGTAGCACTCCAGAGGGGAATTTTTTGAGGGTAGTCCCTAATTTGGGGTTTTTCTGCCCCACCTTTCTAGCTCACCTCAGTAGTGCTGAGGGTGGGGAACTTCAAAGGGCGCATTGAGCTCCAGCTTGTCTCCAGAGCTTTCAGCTGTTTTTTCCCCCAACGTCTCAGCTCCAATATAGGAGGCAGAGCTGGAAAACTTTTGCAGGTCCAGCTCTGTGCATTCAATGGGGTTGTGGACCCAGTGGGAGTGGCTCTCTGAGGCGCAGGAGGCCATGGTAAAGGACTCCTGTGTGGGGAAGCCACGAGTCGAGCTGCAGTCGTCCTCCAGGATGGGGTTAAGTGGCTGGGTCTCAAAGGTGCTCTCACTCACTGTGGACTCAGGGTTGGTCTCCTGGCCAGGTGGCATGGGGAAGAGCGATTCCTCCTCTGCTGCTTCATCAATCTCAAACTGCAGCGAATCTCCTGCAACTCAAAGCAGAAAGTCACTGGGTCACCCAAAGGCAGAGGCAATTCTCAGCAGGGCACCTGGTCCCTCAGATAAGGGAGGGATCTGGGAGGTGGTCCTCCCCTTCCCTTCCCTGAGGACCAGAGCACCTTAGCACCAGGCTGAAGTGACACAGTTGAGAAATATACTTACATTCAGAGAAAGAGAAACCCTTTGTGGAAAACAGAATTTTGACCCTCCCCCGCCACAATCTTCATTTCCTGGTGTTATATCTCTGCATATTATGTTATATGACAAAAGGGACTTTTCAGGAGGAATTAAGGTGATGGATCTTAAAATAGGGAGATCATCCTGGATTATCCAAATGGGTCCAATGTAATCATGTGTCCTTAAAAGCAGAAAAGGAAGGCAGAAGAGACAGAGTATCAGAGAGATGTAGTATGAGAAAAATTCAACACTCCACTGCTAGTCTTGAAAATAGAAGAGAGCTATGAGCTAAAGAATGTGAGCAGCATCTAGAAGGTGGGAATGGCCTTCAGCTCACAGACAGCAAGGAAATGTGACCTAAGTCCTATAACTGCATGCAACTGAATTCTGCCATCTGCTGGAATGATCAAGGAAACAGATTCTCCCCTCCAGAAAGGAGCCTCCAGAAAAAGAATACAACCCTGCCAACATCTTGGTCTTGGCCTTGAGAGACTCTAAGCAGAGACCCAGCACAGCGTGCTGAACTTCTGAGCTGAGGAAATTGTGAGATAATAAGCTATTAAATGTGTGGTAATATGTTATGGCAATGATAGAACAGTAATACACCCTTCATGCCTAAGTCTGATTCAACATCAGGTTACAAACTGAGAGCCTATGTGATGTGTGTTGTTTGACCTCCCCACTATGGTTGTGATTTTGTTCTTTATTCAAATTAATTTCTAATGTTTAACACGATTTCACACAAAAATCCAGATTTCTGGATTCTCTTGGAAATTGGGATTTTGCAACACCGAATATTCCCACATGATAACAAAGAGCTGGAGCTAAGTGGTAAATTCCCCTTTTAGTTAGGAGGTATGCTCTCTAGTTTTCCACAGTCCCTACTCCTCTCTCTTGTACCTTACATTGCAGCTAATTCACACATTAATATCACCTACACAGCTCCAGTATGTGTATAAGTCAGTGACTATTGATAAACACCTTCCCCAAATGAGGAAATATCTAGCCTTCTTTCTCCCTATGAAGGCCATGAGGAAGCTGCATGCCCTCATATTCTGAAAAGAGTACCACATTATTACCCTGAGGATAGATGAGGAACAGAGAAGGGTTACCCATCTCTCTTCTCCTGAGGGAGGAGGAGAGAGACAGGCAGCTCTCTGATGTTCCTTCATCTTCATCTTGCTGGGCACTGAGCCCCAAATGACTCATTACCCATGTTTCATGCCCATGCTCAGGGACTGGGCAACAGCTCTTATCTGAGACACTGACCTCCAAAGTCAGAGACAGGATGGTCCACTGTGAGCTACAAGGTCCCAATGTCCCAGGAGCCACCAAAAGGTAGGAGATAGAAGTAGAGTTTTAGAAGGGTCATAAAGCGACAACAGTGTTCCCTTTGTATCCTGCTGCCCATAAAATGCTTGATTTATCTTCACTTAAGCCAGGGGTACAGCCAAATATACCTGTGAGGCTTTTTCAAGATCATATGGCAGACCCTAGAGACAAACTGACCAAGGCATGTCCATATAAGAGGAAAATTCTCACATAGATAGAGTTGCTTTGGACACAGTATCCAGTGAGCTGATGAGATGCCCTGAGCAGCCTTGTATCTAGTACACTTTATCCTCTTCCTTACTAAGTCAACTCCATTCACTAGTCTGAGTTCCTGTTTTGGTGTCCCTGCCTAGCTCTCAGTTTCCTTAATGGCACTGAAACTACACTGAACCCCAGTAGTTTTGGCTAGTGTTCTTACCCCTTATCTGGTCCTGAGCAGCCACCATCCCACCTCCCCAATCTTTGCCTTCAGTGAGCTGGACTTTCTGCCCTACATTCTTGTCTAATAGCTGAAGTTATGCTACATACATATCACAATGTTATTATGACTTTAAATATGACGTTTGATCTGAAATTTTACATGGCCATCTAGTATGGGCTGTGTCAGATCTCTTTAGGTATCAATACTGCCTGGGGAAAAAAGTCTAGGTTGCCAACTCCTCTGGACACTTGGCTTTTAGTTACCCCCATTTGGGGAATTATTATACTGAATAATTTATACAGAAGTTTCCGTAGACCTCATTCACTTTTATTATAGTCATGTCTCAGATATAGCCAGGCCTTCCTCCATTCCTGACATGTTCCATAATCTATATCTACTAGTATAGATATGCAGAATTGGAAAAGAACTTAAAACCAACTAACTCAATCCTACCTGTCCTTTTAAAGATTGGGAAGAAAGAGACCCAAAGAGGCTAGATCACTTGTCTAAGGTTACACAGTGATTTACAGGTAGATTTAGAACCTAGGTCTCAAGATTCCTTTCCTAAGGGATTTCCCACTATGCTGTACTCCTGCATGAATCCCTAAAACCTAATGAACAAGGTCCCCTAAACTCTCGGTGTCTGCCTTAGTCATCTCTGAAGTCCCATGCTTTCTGTTGCTATCCCTGATAGTTCTACTGGCCAACAGAAGACTATCCTTGAGGTTTTCCAGCATGGTAGGAAAGGCCCATCAACTCTCAACCCCAGAAAATCCTCTCTTCTTCCAATAACAGCTTGTTCTTGATTCATGTGAAATGTGAAGCAGCCACCCTTACCACGCTGGCAATGTCTGCTGAAGAACTGCTTGCAGTAGAGGAAGAGGAGCCCCAGGAAGGCCAGGGTAAACACCACTAGCAGACTGCTCACCAGTGCAACAAGTGTGGCCTCCTGAGGGGGCACTGTGGGTACATCTGCCTTCACTAAGCTCAACTGGAAGGCACCTGTGAGACAAAAACGTAGAGCATGTCAGTCAGTGTGGGTGGTTAACAGTCAGCTTGATGCTGGGCCTGAACTTCCTCAGGCTATCACTCCTCTCCCTAGGGCCGTTCCCAATTAGGCCTGCTATGCTAGTTTTACTTCTTTGTCGAGCAGGCAAAATTATAAAGAAAAAAGCAGAGAAACTTGCATATGCTGCTGGTATGGCATAAATTAGAACAATTAATTGAAGATGCACATATCCTATGGTCTTTCCATGCCACATCTAATTATACGACCTAGAAAAATAGAAACAAGCTAAAATGTTCATCAGTAGAGCACAGGATAAGTAAGTCATGATATAATCCTAAGATCCAAGTATATAGCACTTAAAGAAAAGGTCTTTATGGATTAATATAAATAATCCAGAGAAGAAAAAAGCAAATTTGGGAAAGAGAATATACAGCTTGATATCATTTGTATAAACCATTATAAAATATATAATAGCATATAGTGTTTATGAATATGTACATATATCACAAAAATACAATTATGAAAACGTTAGTAGAGAGTATGGCAGGGGCATAGTGCTCACCAATTATCCACATACTCCCCTGCATTCCCTTACGCCCTTGCAATAAGGCCATCAGAGTACTTCTGGCCAATGGACTGTGAGTGGAAATAATGTGTGTCACTTCCAGACTGAGTCAGTTAAGATCCAGTATGTCTCCTCCATCTCTTCCCTTGTCATATCGACTTGGAAGCCACATAGTCTAGAAGGCATAGTCACATGATGAAGGAAGACCCTCACATAGTGAAAAATAAACTTTTATTGTATTAAGTCACTGAGATTTGGGGGTTTGTTACTGTGGCATAATCTACCAACAGAATACATACAATTTCAGGATAGAGGTTGTATCTGGGGAGGTACGGAGAAAATGGGACTCACAGAGGATCTAAAAGGGAATTCAATTATACCTGTGGAATTTTTGTTCTTTTTAAAAAAATCTGAAGCAAATATATAAAACATTAAGATTTATTAATTATGGATATTGGGTAACTATGAATTTTATTTTATATTTTTCTGCATTTTTAAATATTTATATATGCTTGAAATATTTCATGATTATAAAAAATAATAATTAAAAAAACATGTGAGTAGCTAGATAGATGGTATATAGACAAAAACAACAGGCAAACCAGTAAATGGATAATGATATGTGTATAGATTAAACTCTAGTTCTTCATTCAGCCTTTTATAAGGTTTAAGCCCTAGGGACTCCTATACATTTCATATAGTAATTAATAATACTTCATAAGTGTACACATTATAATTTATACAATAATTGCTAATATCCATTATTTCATTATACCTAGACAGCCATCCCATAAGGTATGAAGAAAAGAAAAAAGAAAAATAATTACCACAAGTCACATTTTTTTCAGATGAGGCAAATGAGATTGAATTAGCTTGAATGATTTACAGAGGGTTACATAGATAATATGTTGTGAAACCAGGATTTTAATCTAACTAATTCCCTTGTCATTCTACAAGAAGGGATAGGAGAGGATAGGGAAAGTCTTTACTACCCTATCTTGCTGCCACCTGATGGGTTGAGGAGGAATGAGGAGAGGAGAACTGGATACACACACTGAACTTCAGATGTGGGGGTCTGCTTTGTGCATGGTATGCACTCTTGGTCCTGCAGGCCTCCAATGCGTGTCTTTCGGTAGAACCTGTGATCAGAGCAATTAGAAATGACAGAGTGATCAAACAAGCGACACACTTGGACTAGTTCTTCCTGGGATCATAGGCAGCTTCTAAGAGTTGTCCTACTAAAGTCAGCACCTACCCCTCCTTGTGAGCTCACTGCCTCTGTGTCTGATACTGATTCAGAGGCCCAGGCACTCTGCTTCCTCTATTCACCATACCCTATAGCAGGGGTCCCCAACCTATGGTGAGTTGTATCATTTCATTGTATACTACAATGTAATAATAATAGACATAAAGTACACAATAAATGTAATGTACTTGAATCATCTCTAAACCACCCCCACCCTGGTCCATGGAAAAACTGTCTTCCCTATAGCCAAAAGGAAAGCTAATCCCACAAAAGAGGAGAGCACTGCTTTGCAACCAATTGCTTCATAATTTATTTTAGGTCTACAGTAAAATTGACCTTGAATTTTGGGCCTGGACTAAGAGTGCCAGCATGATGAAAAAGCTGTTAAATACTCATCTGTGGCTCACAATGTGCTAGGCACTTTATAGAGAGATCTTGGGAAGATATTGTTTCTTTCTTTTGAGTACTTAAAAAGAATATGATATGGACAGTTAGAATACTTTAAGTAGGTTCTGAGAGGTGAGGATGAGAGAGACTTCCAAAGGCTAGAAAAGGCCTAGAAGAGCTTGGCTGATACAACAGGCTCACCTGGGCAGACAGTCCCCACAGACAGCATTAGAGGTAGCTGTGCAGTTGGCCTTCTGAACACGATTGATGACGGCACAGGTGATGCAAGTCTGACATCTGTGGTGGCCCCAGCTGCTTTTGTACCTGCGAGGGGGGCAGGTTGTGCAGTATGCGTCACCACCCTCTCCATAACCACAATCCTGCAGAGAGATGGGAATCATTAACATTGCTCTATAGGAGCTTGGAGAGAGGATCAGCTATGGGACAAGTAGACATGGTATAGAATAGTATTTTTCAAACTACAAGTTGCAACCCCATTATCAGGTCATAAAATCAAGAGGTCCTAACACCCGAGGAGATTGAAATAGATGGTCTCTACAGATTCTTCCAGCTCTGACAACCTAACCTCAATAGGAACAAGGCACCTGCCTGGTACCAGTCATAGCTCTTTCTCAGAGATACAACTCTAATTGTCAAGGGATATTAGCTATTTGCTAGTTGTAGCAGAAGTTGGATGATGGTTCACCAAAACTATTCTCAATTTCTCCTGGGAACACCACCACCAGACACTTCATAAAGCCACTGCAGTTAAGTGGGGCCACATGCCTGATTTCTAGCCAATGGACTATGTATAAAAATGATATGTATGCCACTCACAGTCCTGGACCCAAAACACCTCGTGTGTTCTACTTAATATTCTTTATATTTTCATTTTCTGGTGCATGTTGACACCCAGGGAAACCTTGGAATCAATATATTAAAAATGACAGAGGAAGGCAGTGAAATGGAGGAATAGGCAGCTTCAAGCTCTTATTTTCCCCCAGAAACAGAAAAATAAGTAGAAACTGTCAGACCCAATGTTGTCAGACTCCAGAAAACAGTCAAAGGTTTATATCAACCAAGCAAATGCTGAATTAAGAAAAAGTCCACTTGAAAATGATAGGAAAGTTCTGTGGTATTTTTACTTGCCCTTGTCACATACTTCACCCAAGATCAGTGGCAGTCCTAAAGTGGTAGAAGTCTTAAAGTAGCATCAGCCTGTGTTCCCAGTTTGAGACTCTCATCCTTGGTTCCAAAGTGAGCAAGCAAAACTTATTCAGAAATTATTGTGTATGTCTGTTCTGACCTGAATGGGGCTACCTGAAGGACTGATACAAGGTGCTCATCTATATGTCACTCAATTCAGAATATAGACTGAAAATGCAATGAGCATTGTTTCAAAATGCTGCAAGGCAACTAACAAACCAAAGATGCATAGAGCAAAAAGACATACAACAGGTTGCCTGAATCTGAGAGCAAAAGCTGGGGGAAATTCTTTGAGAAATAAGAACATTTGAAAGCATCCATGTATATGGAGGAATTTTGAAGGTCACATGTATGTCCAGGAAAAGACAGATGCTCAGAATATACTAGTGCAGACCCAAGGCTTACATGTTGGGCTTATATGTTAGCCTAAGCTAAGTGCAAGTCTGGCTAAGTGCCCCAGCACAGAGCCAATCTACAAAGAAAGGGAGATGTGTAACTTTTTTGTTGTTGTTATTGTTCATTTTTTAAAACTTCTGGAATTCAAAGAAATCTCTGTCAAAACATTAGCTGAACACAAGCTAAATTAACACAGATTTTAATGACCACACATGACAAGGGATAGTGTCTCTTTGCAAAAATAGTTTGGAAAAATACCTAAACAGATGGACTACAATAGCCTTCAACAGTACAAAATGTAAAAGGAAAAAAAAAAACAGGTAAATATGGGGAAAGGAGAGAATCTGACTTCCAGAGTTACTATATTACAATAAAAAAATGTCCAGTTTTCAACAACAACAAAAAAATCACAAAGCATGAAAAGAAATAGGAAAGTGTGGCCCATTCAAAGGAAAAAAAACAGAAACTGTACTTGAGAAAACTCAGACATTACACTTACTAGACAAAGACTAAAAGAACTATCTTACATATGCTCAAAGAAAAACATGGACGAAGAACAAAAAGAAATCAGGAAATAAATGTTTGAACAAAATGAGAATATCAATAATTATTTAATAATAATTGATATAATTAATTTAATTATTATTTAATAACAATTGATATAATTAGTTTAATTATTAAATTAATATAATTTAATGATAATTGATATAATATCAATATCAATTATTTTAAAAGGACCTAACAAAAGTACTGAAGCTGAAAATTAAAGCAAAGTAACTGAAATGAAAAAAAATCACTAGAGGATTTGAGTAAGTAGAAGAAAGAATAAGGCCGGGCGCGGTGGCTCACGCCTGTCATCCTAGCTCTCTGGGAGGCCGAGGCGGGCGGATTGCTCCAGGTCAGGAGTTCAAAACCAGCCTGAACAAAGAGCGAGACCCCGTCTCTACTATAAATAGAAATAAATTAATTGGCCAACTGATATATATATATATAAATTAGCTGGGCATGGAGGTGCATGCCTGTAGTCCCAGCTACTCGGGAGGCTGAGGCAGCAGGATCGCTTGAGCCCAGGAGTTTGAGGTTGCTGTGAGCTAGGCTGACGCCATGGCACTCACTCTAGCCTGGACAACAAAGTGAGACTCTGTCTCAAAAAAAAAAAAGAAGAAGAAAGAATAAGCAAAGTTGAAGGCAGGACAATTGAAATTATCATGTCTGAAGAAAAGAAAGTAGGCAAAAACCTAAGGAAACTATAGGACACCACCAATTTGACCAATATATACAATATGGAAGTCCCACCAGGAAAAGAGAGAGATAGAGCGGGAGAAAGAATATTTGAGGAAATAATGGCTGAAAACTTCCCAAATTTGGTTAAACACATAAATTTACACTTCCAAGATGCTCAAGTATATCTCCAAGTAGGATAAACTTGAAGAGGCCCACACTGAAACATATAAACAAAATGTTGATAGTCAAAGACAATAAGAAAATATTGAAAGCTGCAACAGTGAAATGACTTGTCAAGTACAAGGCATCCTCAATAAGATTAAAAACTGAGTTTTCTCTAGCTTTCTTTTGATTAATGTTTTCTTTTGTAAAAAAACAATTTTTATTCAGAAACTGCAGAGACTGGAAGTCAGTGGGTGGATATATTTAAGTGTAAAAAGAAAGTAGATTAGAGGGTAGAGGGTACCAGGGGCATTGGGGAAGGGGGAATGGAGATTTATTTCTTAATGGGTACAGAGTTTCTGTTTGGGGTGATGAAAATGTCTTGGAAACATAGTGGTGATGGTTGCACAACATTTTGAATGTGATTAATGCCGTTGAATTATACATTTTAAATGGTTAAAATAGCAAATTTGATATTATATATTTAGCCATAATTGTTAAAAATTAATAATGCAATATACCAAAAACCATTAAATTATACACTTTAAATGGACAAATTTTATGGTATGTGAACTATGTTTTAATAAAGCTGTTTTAAAAAATGACAGAGCCTTCATAAGCCTGGGTCCCTGAATGACCGAGAAAAATCCTCCCACTTCCCAAACTTGACTGGAGTTAGAGTCAGAAATAAACTCATAATCTGTTATGTCACCAAATTTTAGTATTTCTTTGTTACAGCAGTTAGCATTACCTGAACTAATACACTCGAAAAACTTTACTTTCCCAGAGGTTGGGAAAAGTGAGCATCAGCCAGCTTCTAAACACTCCTACTATATCCTGTCCCTTTGTTTGCTGACTCAGGCCTCATTCAATGCCTTACAGCCCCACTCAAAATTATCTCATCCACCAAAACCTAACTCTGATAAGTATTAGGGTCTGACACAGGCCCTAGCCATTTCACTCATGTTTTTTTTGGAAATCAACGGGCTTCTTGGAGCCTCTGCTGCCTTATGTGTACCATCAGAACGGTGTTAGCTGCCATATTTGCTTTAGAGCATGCTCTGAGAATCAAAGTAATAGGAAATACAAGGTAGTGATGAAAAGCCCTGATCCAGGGTAAAGGAGTCCTTGCTTTAACTCCCATCTCTACCACTGTCCAGTCATAAAACCCTGAGCAAGTCACTAGGCTTAAACATTTTTGTCAGTCAAATTAGAAATAATGCTACCTAACTCACACAAACACACTCACATGCATCTGATTATATTACAAAAATAAACAATAGAAGGATAAGTCATAAAACTAAAATGAAACCAAAAAAAGCAAAATATTGGGAGAAGGGGAATTATCTATGAGGGAAAGCAAGGAATATGCTGGATGTGACAAGGATACAAGTGAGACTTTTGTGAACATGCTCTTTATTTTATAGATTTGACTTTGGAAGATTTTAAATATTTTACATGAGTATAAATATTAGATTGAAAATGAAGCAATCCCTAAAATTCACAATTAAATGAAACACATTAGCCTAAAATGAATGAGTATACATATATATGTCTCTCTGTGTGTATAGTGCTTGTCACCATGCCCAGCACATAGTAAGTTCTCAAAGAACAAAGTAAGTCCTCAATGAATCTTAGGTTTTATTCTTATGGAAAACAACTTTTTACAATTCCCAGAGCACTGGAATCAGAAGACCTGAGCCTAACTCTTTTATTCACTTTCTAGAAAAGGGAGTGATGGGAGCTAGCTAGCATGTATTCAGAATCAACCAACAAGCTGATTGATTAATTGATTGGTTAACACTCCCCTTTACTTTATTGATTAATTCATAAAACATTTATTAAGCAACTACTATATGCCAGGATGCTATTCTGAATGTTGCCATTAAAGATTGAATCAATCAGACAAAAATCCATGTTCTCATGGATTTTTATATTTATTTATTATCCATAAAACCTTACAAAGGTGCATTATTATCCTGTTTCACAAATAAGCAAACTTGAGGCACAAATGATAGTGTTTACAAGTGGCCAGCCTAGGAAGCCTCTTCCCCATGGGCCTGAGATTCTTCATCCACAGCCAGAGACACAAGGCTGCAGGGGACACTGTAAGAGGGATTTCACCACAATTACCCAGCCCAAGACACTTCTTTGTCCTGCAGATCTGAGACTCTTCTCCCTGACATAGAGACAAGTGGCTGGGGTAAACTGACAAATGATATTATACTATAACATTTGGTCTGTTGTGGGAAATGCCCTTCTTCCCCACAACTCAGACTTCTTTACCACAACGTAGGTGCCCCAGGTGACCTAACCGAAGAAAACTCCTTCCACATCTCAGGCAGCACCAGATAAACCACACATACCAAAAATCATACCACAAAGGCCCTAA